TTCCTTTCTGTATAATGCTGCATAACTTCTGGACAAGCAGCGTTGTATGAGACTAGAGCTCCGAGCTCATTTGAGAAGAATGCCAATTATTTTGGAGAGTATCCTACTTTTCTACGTTTCTACTTCTCTACTAGGCATCTAAATATCCATTCTGTTGAGTGGGAAGGTCCAATTAGAGACAAGAGACACACAAAGACATTATAGAATGACTTGATATCAGTCTAAATGCATCAAAACGCACTATTTTAGTAGATCGGCCTCTTCTTTCGTGCTTGGACCCCGTTTGGCGTCGAGGGCGTTGGGAGTCTCGACCTAGAACCCCTCTATGCAGACTTTTTTTGCATAGTCAAAGCGTTTCTTGTAACACAGAAGAGATAGAATGGAACAAATAGAATGATCGAATGATCGAATGAAAATTAGAAGGGGGCGACCATTCTCTTATAAGCGCTCTATATATAACATCCCCCTCCTTGGGGAAGATCAAACACGCGCAAACACAAAATAGGAACTTCCCGCTTTCTCTTCAAAAAGATTCTATTCTCTTCAACCTTCAACCCCCGTCTCCGTCACGTTCACGTTCACGTTGTTGTTTTGAGAGATTCAAACTGGTCTGACTATCATACACCCGAGAAAATTTTCTCCCTTGATTGAAATTCCTCTATCTCGTTTCATCTCAACCCATCTCGACTCATCCTCCCTCCGACTTCTTTCATCCAAGTCGAATTGCTAAGAGTCCAGTGCTCTTCCGCTCAGCCTCGTTTATCTCGTGAGGCGCCTAGGAGCCCATTCTTTCCTCTCTCCACCGTGCGCGTACACACCGAATCGGATAGGCACCACCGTCCACACCTGTCTGGCATCTCTGCCAGCACTGTTTCCTTTTCACCCTTCCCCTGGCCGTTCGGGCCCTTCTCTAGATCTGTTTGGTCTTGAAATATTCTGTTTGGTAAGCATCTATTCCTTTTCCCTCTGCTGCTGCTCCTCCCAACGACTCCGACCGCCAAGGGGGAGAAAATTCAACGAAAAATTTCGAGCGCGTTCGTCAATTTCGCCTCACCTTGGGACTTGGAATACAGGCTGGACTTCGTCTTAATCTGGGACGCTCTATTAACTCGTTTTTCCGACAGTAACAGGAATAGCCGCCGCGTCATCAAATCTGTTATTCTCACCCGATCGCTCCGGAAGTCTCTCTTCCACCCTTCGCTTCTCTTTTCCTTCCACCTATTTTTTTCTTCTTTCTTTCGTGTTTTCTAGACATTATTCGCCATGGCCGATCAGGAAGTGGATCTGGACTCGATCATCGACCGGCTCTTGGAGGTGAGGGGTAGCCGCCCTGGAAAGCAGGTTCAGCTGCTCGAGTCAGAGATCCGTTTCCTCTGCACCAAGGCTCGCGAGATTTTCATCTCTCAGCCCATTCTTCTCGAACTGGAAGCGCCCATCAAGGTACGAATTTATTGGTGTCGGAACGGTCTCTTGAGTCGGAATCGGTCTCCGTCTAACATGCTTGTCTCGCTAGATTTGCGGTGATATCCACGGCCAATACTATGACCTCCTGCGTCTCTTCGAATATGGCGGTTTCCCTCCGGAGGCTAACTACCTCTTCCTCGGTGACTACGTCGACCGTGGCAAGCAGTCCCTCGAGACCATCTGTCTCCTCCTTGCATACAAGATCAAGTACCCCGAGAACTTCTTCATTTTGCGTGGAAACCACGAGTGCGCCTCGATCAACCGTATCTACGGTTTCTACGATGAGTGCAAGCGCCGATACAACATCAAGCTCTGGAAGACTTTCACCGACTGCTTCAACTGTCTCCCCATTGCCGCCATCATTGATGAGAAGATCTTCACCATGCACGGTGGTCTGAGCCCCGATCTCAACTCGATGGAGCAAATCCGCCGTGTCATGCGCCCCACGGATGTAAGTTTCTGCCCTTCCCCGGTTTCACCCCTCTCCTCTGGCGGATGTGGTTCTATTGGCAGCGAAAAGAAGTGTGGCATTATGGCGCTGGGTACGTTCGGCTGAAGGCCAACATCGCTGACTGAAATAGATTCCCGACTGCGGTCTCTTGTGCGATCTCCTGTGGTCCGACCCAGATAAGGATATCACCGGCTGGAGCGAAAACGACCGAGGTGTCTCATTCACATTCGGCCCAGATGTGGTCTCGCGCTTCCTCCAAAAACACGATATGGATCTGATCTGCCGTGCACACCAAGTTGTTGAGGATGGATACGAATTCTTCTCTAAGCGCCAGCTGGTTACACTATTCAGTGCGCCCAACTACTGTGGTGAATTCGATAATGCCGGTGCAATGATGAGCGTGGACGAGAGTCTGCTCTGCTCCTTCCAGGTGAGTTATGAATTTTCATCTCCGAGATCTTTTTTCAGTTCCTAACCTACTTTTTTTTTTCTTCCGATAGATCCTGAAACCTGCCGAGAAAAAGCAAAAGTACGTTTACGGTGGCATGAGCGCCGGCGGTCCCGTCACTCCTCCGCGAAAGCAAAAGAAGAAATAAAAGAATCAATACGAGCTTCCCCATGTGCAGCAGGTTCGGGCGGAGATAAGCCTTCCACAAATCTCTTTAACAACGCCCTCATGACATCCTCCCTACAACCCCCGCGAGTCCTCCCCCGGATCCACGAAAACGATGAACGACCGAGGAACCCCTCATCCGCACCCAGGGTAGCCCGATATTCCTCAACTCCCGCACCGATAATATCACAGTCACATTCTCAACTCCTCCAGAACCCCGGGCTCTCTCTCCAAGTGCGACATGCGATAAAATACACAACAGTCACCCCATCATTTCCTGGCCCGTGCGACCCTCTGTACTTCCGGAGCGGAGTTCAAATGCTTATTTCTTCGTTGTTTCTCGACTTCTCTGTCTCTGTTTCTAACCATCTGGACTGGAATGTTTTTCCTTTCGGCATCTCGGGAACGGGGAAGGGAAACTGGTTATCTTTTCTCTTTTCTCTTTTCTTACTTCTTATTGTCCTGTTCATTGACCGCATGTGTTGTTGTTTTCTTATCGAATTCTATTCGTCTTTCGAATCGTCTTTCTAGTCCGACACCTACGAGGCGGTAGTAGTACCTCTGTCCTGCTGATGCATCGTATATCGGATTGGGGGTGTCTATGTTACTAGCGGTGTTCTGTGAATCTAGTTCGGCCTTGGAATGGTTTCTTCGGAGGTCTAGATTGTTTGTTATATGGGTTGTGAGAATCACATTCGAGTTTATGTAGGCCAAGATATCTGTCATCTTTTATAATGAGTAGTTAATTCCGCCCTCGTTGATACTCAAGTTAATAGGTTCATATTCGAATCGAGGAATTGGAATGTTCAATTCGAGATACGAGCACACTAGTAAGATAACACATATTGGAAGTATTTACCCATGGATGTACATAGATAGCAATCAGCAACAGCACATAAATTCTATATAGATATCGTCACCGTCCTGGCACGTTACCATAGCATGGTCACGTGTACGTTCTGTCCTGTCCATGGTTAAGTCCACGGGTTCACGGGTAGCAGGAGCTACTGTGACAGATCTGAGGGTCATCCAGTCAGTGAATATTCTTCCTCAAGCATATCTATTCCAGTTAGTTAATATATATCCTTTGGGCCTAGGGCCCCCCCAATCATTAGTCTTGCCTAACACTACCTAGGTCGGTACCTAAGGTTCCAAGGTTATCTAACGGATCAGCGCCTACTACAACAGGACCTAACGCTTTAGGCCCTTTACCTACTTTAATTCGACTACTTTACCCTGTATATAAATGCTACTAAGGGGCCCGACATCCTTATAGCCTATTGTTTACACTATTCGACTGTCCAGCCTTTAATCGGTCCAAAACGAGAGCCTTTTTGAGATAGTTTAATCGTTCACACAAGACCTTGCCAGTGAAAATGCGTTCTTGGAGTGGTAATCATGATCTGTTTGAGTACAATTCTGGGCGCTTTCTTGTGAGTCGTGCTCAGGTGATATGACCTCAACATGTCAATTGCCTTGTCCTAACTTGATGTAACAAATCAGGTTTAATGAAAAGCTTCGGCGAACTCGACGTGGATGCTTTTGCTAGAGTGGCGTGTCAGTATATTGGCCGACGTCTTAATGGCGTGGCTTCAATCACCGAACTCGCGGAAACGGGTTTTAACCGTGTTTTGCAAATAGCCTTCGACGATGGCTATGCCGTGCTTGCAAGGCTACGTACCATATAGTACGACTGTCCCGAAGCATCACGCTGTGACTAGTGAGGCTGCCATTCTCGCTTCCCTATATTCCCATGGCATCCTAGTCCCGAGGATTCTTAGGTATTCTCCGGATTATATAAACGTCGTTGGAACCGAATACATTTTCCTCGAAAAGATCGACGGAACGCCTTTAAGTGATCAGTGGTTTTCTATAGATGCGAAGACCCGAGTCGAAATAATGAAACAGATTGTCGAGGTAGAGAAACAATATATAAGCATCCATTCTGCAAGTACAGAGTAGCAGAGTAAGGAGCCGTGGTAAAGCACAACGGTTGAAAGGCCATGTGACCTTGTATGTATATGTAAGTCATGTGATCTCAAGTCACTAAACCGAACGCAATTTGTAGGCGTGCTGTACCACATCATTCCTATACTTTATACCAAAAAAGAAAGAAATTTAAGTCTTTAGACTATGGTAACCGGGAAAAACCAGCTAGCTAGCTCGAGCAAAAGCGCAGAACAAAAGGAGCAAGAATTGAACAAACGTGACAAGATGAGGTACAGCGTTGTTGAGTGACACATTCAAGACGTACAGGTACGTGCGGGGAGAAAGTTGGATTGGGCTTGTGGGAAGGGTTTTGGAGCATAGCTAGATATGGGGTGTTCGTGTGCAGTGGAATATCGGAGAGAGCGAAAGCCAAAGCCTGTTTCATTTCACTTGGAGTCTTGACCCGGTGGAATGAAGATGGATTTGGGCTTGACCGGTTGCGGAGGGGATTGGTTGTGTCGGGCGACAGGGAGGACACTCCGTTTAAACGTATTGGGACAACCATCTGATTCCCTCGCCGTATCCTGTTGGAGAAAGGAGAAAAGTTAGTTATAATTTTTTCAATGTGTGCTTAGCCGCCACGGCCCCGGTTTTCACGGTCTATCCAATGTCCTTGGACTCAACGAAACCCACCCTGTCTCATAACAACACTGCACATGAACACCTCGATAGGGCGGATGCCCTCAAGAGGGACCTTGCCCTTACCAGTAGTCTGGTAGAGACCGAGCTGGTGGCGCAGCTCATCCTCGCTAACAGCATCGGGGTGATCGATCTTGTTCCCGAGAACGAGGAAGGGAACCTTAGAGAGCTCCTCCATGGCGAGGAGAGCGTCGAGCTCAGCCTTGGATTCGGGGAAGCGCTCGTAATCCTTGGCGTCAACGAGGAAGACGATTCCGCTCACTTCGGGGAAGTAGTCCTTCCAGAGACGGCGGGCTGAAGGGAGAAGGTAGGTTCGTTAGTTATATTCCATCTCAAGATCCAGTGTGAAGGGGTTCTATGTTGTTTCGCAGTATGCTTGCGCAACATCACGAGTCCCCATTAAGAGTGTCACTCACCCTGCTGGTGACCACCGAGATCGAAGGTCGTGAAGCGGTTGTTGCCGATGGCCAACTCCTCCGAGGTCGGGTGTGCGGTAGGTTGCAGGACGGCGACACGGTCGTTCTGTTGAATGTCCTGTCAGCGAACAGCCCCATACAACGTCCAGTTCTCGTATATCTCCCATGCTATATCCAAGCTCCCGGATCTGTGGAGCAACCCAGCGCAACCAGACTCGGGCCTTATAGCCATCGAAATTGAACATCGAAGGGCTCGGTCTTCTCTTCCCGAACTGAACACCAACGCTCAACTCACCTTCAACATGTGCAGCAGTGTCGTCTTGCCGGCATTGTCCAGACCGAGGAACAGGAGCTTGGCGTGCTTATTGAGGAGACCTAGCGAGGCCAGGACATCGTAAACTATAGGACGAAGAAGCGAAATCAGAAAATTGAACCTTGTAACCTCGAGACGCACACCTCGATCACAAGCAGCCGGTACCGCGGCACAGCTGTCGCATGACTCGATGTCGGAGTCGGAATGAAGACATATTCAGTTCCAACGCAGCTAAGCTGTCCAGAGAAACATCTAGTTCTCTCTTCCTCGGTGTTTGAGATCGGCCCCGGACGGTGACTGCAGGTGATCGGGAGTAGTATCGGGAGGGTACTTACACCAGTTGACGATCCACATGGTGAAAGGCCGGAGTCAGGAAAAATGGATAAGAGGGTAATGAGCAGGGCTCACAGATTAAGATCAGTGACGAGCTGATTGGGGAGAGGTGGATGGACCGGGGGTGGAAGAGATAGAAGCAAAGAAGACAGCTTTGATGTTGTTTTCGGGGATCGGGTTTGGTGCCTTAGGCAGGAAAACGGAATCATCGCGCAGCGATAAGCTACGACTTGGGGGATTTGGCCTGATTCGGGTATATATGGGTGGTTTTGTAGATTGACTATTTTGTGATTTGTTGGGAATATTGATCATAATTGCGTACTTCGCTCTTGCTGAGTCTACCGTGGCGAAGACTCGCCACTACCCTCGATCTTTTGGTATTATTGCTGTTATCGTCTACTATAGGAAACAAGGTTCATCTAAAATATATTCATATTCACTCCCATCAAACCGATGGATCTCTTTATTCACAATGCAGAAAAGCCAGATAGGGGTATATGCACCGCAGCCATGCAAGACAACAAAGGAAGCGACCTCCAGCAAGTCCATAGGATCGCAGTATAGGAAAGAGGGAAAGAAAGGACATAAGATATACTTCCGACAGAAAATGCAAAGAAAGAGCCACCTCCGTGTAGTAATTATTGAAGAAAAGGGGGAAAAGGGATAAGGGTAAAGAAACCATTCATGAATGTAGACAACACAAAGTGGGCTAATATGTGTAAGAAAGCGAAAGGCACTCGGATCGCTAACCGAGCAGGGGGAAGACAAAAAAACCCCGAAACCAAAAAAAAGGTGACAAGAAGTATGTACAAGTCAAATAGACGGAGGGGTGAAACTTTTTCATACAAGTTCCATAGGTAGGGACACCTAGACGGATAGGACGAGCTGGGCATCTTGACCGACGCCGTAAGCTCTGCACCTCTCAGCGACTTCGAGGCCAAGCTCCTTCATCCGTTCGGCTCCATGGCCTGGAACAGGCCGTTTGCCCATCTGCTCTTTGGCAGCTTTACGGCAATGTTGACGCCAGAACTTTTCTTTGCGTTTCTGGCGCTTCTTCTCGAGCCCTTCGACAATGTCGACTGGGCCACGAGTGTGTAGCTCACGGGTACGTGAGTGTTCGTTCTCTGGCGACCCAGAGAATGGCGGGATACCTTGCCACCGGTGATCTTTGTCCAGGCCAGTGAAGAAGGGGTTGGGAACACGGGGGAGTGACTTGGTACGGACGAGAGGCCGGCGCTGGACCAGGTGGCTGATATTGACACCTCCGATAGACTCAACGATGGGCATATCGTCGGTGAGTTCCCACGTCGCTGGGGTGGACGACTTCGCTCTCTTGGGAGGGGGCGGGGACTTGAGACGCTTGGGAGACATGCGGCCAGCGCGACGGGGTGGTGGGGACATCAAACGTCTAGGAGAGCGACGGGGTGATTGCTTGCAGGCCTCGCCCACTGGCCGTCCTCGGGTAGTTTCGTCGCGGCGACCTGTGACAGAGCACAAGCTGGAAACCTCTTCCTCGGATGGTTCGAGGTCCTCGTTGTCATCCGGATCGCTGGTGGGGAAGCTGGGGTCGATATCCTGCGGGATGACAACTTCTTTTAGGCGACGCCGTTCTTCGAGGCAAGTTTTGTAGGCAAGTTCGAGGGGACGATCCTCGTCGAGGGTTCCACAGACAAAGTCGGTGCTATCAGGAAGGTTCGGGGTCCTCGGACGAATACTGATGTTCTTGGAGGTCTTCGAAGTGCGGCGGCTAGAGACCCTTTGCACGGGGGCAGGAAGCCAGTTCGAGTGATCGTCTGTCATGGAGTCGAAAGATGTGTTCGAGGCCCGGCGTTCTATGGTCGAGGGGCGTGCATCAATGGAGTGACTGGAGTGTTCTGGGATACGGCGTGACGATCCCCAAAACTCGATGTCAGAGCCATCATCGTCGCTCTCATCCGACTCTGCGAAGCCAGCCTCATTGTCCGATTCGTTACCGTCGTCAGAAGAGAAGTCGTGCACAGTCTCGTCGTCGTCAGGAAGGTCTTCCATATCCTCTTCCTCCTCCATAGCCTCTTCTTCTGCCTGTTCACCGAGCCGTCGGATGGCCATTTCTTTCTTCATACAGTCGTTCAAAGTAATCTTTTGCGTATAGTCGGCCTCCCTGTTCACCCATTCATCGTCTTCGTCCATTGAGCTAGCGAATTCGTGGAACCGAGTAGCTTCGGATTCCTCGAACTTGCCCAGTCCACTGGTTGGGACACCTTTGCGGTCTGTAGACGCAGAGGCAGCCTCATCGTTGGAAACCTCCTTGGGAGTTTCCTTCGGGATAGGAGATGCTCTGCGAGCAGCAGGTGCAGGGGAGCCACGACACCGCGGCCGAGGGGAGGGCTTGCGCGCCGGAGATCGCTCTCTCTGGCAAACAGTCTCTCGTCCAGGGCAGGCGAAAGTAAGTGTGGTTTTGCGCGTGAGAGGTTGGACCGAGATTTCTTCCATGGGAAGCTCCTTCGGTGCTTGGGTTTTGGGTGGGAGTACTTGTGACCCAGAGGGTGAGACGGGAGATCCCAGCTCATTCTTCTCATCAGTCTTACGACCACAAGCGAAGCTAATGCATCGTTTGCGGCCAAGGTTGGCCTCGACGGAAGTTTCACTAGCATCAACGACCTTCACTTTAGGTGCGAAATTCTTCTTTCCCATCAACGCAGCATTTTTCATCATCTGAGGTGGTAAAGGTGGACTGGGAGTATTAGACAAGGATGGGCTCGTGAGGCCGCCGTCGCTGGTCAACTCGGCCGTCGAGACGCCACTGATGTTGCTATGAGGGTAGGATCGGTACATATAGGAGTCGTAGTGGGAGGCGTGTGGATCGGTTGGGGACATCTCTGGGCTGCTCTTCAACGCGCGCGTGAGCAGTGATTCCTTGCGGCCCACCGTTGGTCGAGAAAGCATAATCTGATCGGAGTTCATCGAGGTGGCGTGCATGACGTGTTCAGGGGGTTCGTCGACGTCCTCGGGCAAGTCGGCCTCGCCGTGGGCCGGCTTGCTGGACGAGTTGGGCGAGAGAAGCATCTTCAATAGGTTATGGAAAGAAAATGTTCTTTCTCCGTCCCGAGACTGTGCCATGATTTCGAAATGAAGAGGGCTTCGCGGTATAGTTCCAGAATAGAAAAAGGAGGACGAGGATGAGGCGAGTGGCGTAGGATCGAGTGCAAGGCGAGGTTAGAATGTTGCTTGAAAGAGACGAGGTCTTTCATTCAACGAATGCTGTCCTTGATATCAATCAATGTAAAATCGATCGACCTTGAGGGCAGAACAAGATGTCCCGAACGAGGACTAACGTCATGATATAAACCGCATGACTAGGGGGTTTCGAGACGAAGGAGGGTATTCGCCAAGATCGATAATTGTGCCTAAGAATGGCAACTCAACGTTGAGGAGCTGGAGACTAGATCTTTTTCTCGAATACCTCCAGGCTTGAAGGTCCGTGCTTTCGGATCTCGATAAAGGAAAAGGAAAAGGAAAAAGGACAGGAATGTCGAGAATGTCAAGAAACGAAAAATGGAGTGGAGATGATCAAGAAGAATAAAAAGAAGGGGAAGTTTGGGGAAAGGTTGACAATAATAACAGAACAGGAAGATCGCGCATAGAAAAGGTGCAGGGGTCTCCGATGTCTTGGAGGGGGAAGAAGTGGGAGTGACGATACGGCAGCCCGGCACTGTCGTTTTGGGACTAGTCTGGTTTTTTTTAAATTTTTTTCCCTTTCCCACGTTTTTTATTTTTTTCAATTTCCGTTCTTTCTGTAATTTTACTAATTTTCCCTAACCTTTTGGGATTTCCAGTTTCTTTTTCCTCTCTTTTTTCTCTTTTCACCCAAATTGCCTTACAATGTACCTTGATTTCTATGGCCGTGTTGTACCTGACTAAGAAAATATGTCTTGCCACTCCAGGGCTTATCCACTGGACATGGTTCCTGCGCTACTTCGTACATTGTAGTACCATAGGTTGTATTTCTATAGATATTCCATCTTTCTCTTTATTTCTTTATTACTATAATAATACAGTTCTATATTAAATGCTTTGTTTCAAAAAGAAAGAAACTAAATGTATAAAGAGTTTCATTTCGAGTATCGAGCTCAATTGATTCAAGTGGACCATGATGACCATTGCCTCTTGAGTCGGTGGCCGCTAGCTATGAGGGATTTTGTTCTGAGACTAAACCCGTTTCAGGGTCACTTTTCTCTCTTGAAAACTCCCCATTGAACCTGACCTCTCTTAATACTTGCCGTGAATCCACTTGCCAACACAATGAAATTTTGGTACGGAGTATTGAAGAAAAATCTGCCTTGATATCTTCACCGTACATCGTAGTTCTATATCTGTACTCCGTACATTGTAGACCTCCGGAGGCAACTTTCGAATTTTATTGGAGACGTATGGGTATGGTAATATCCCAGGTACAGAGGCCATTCCTATAGTGCAAATCGGTATGAAAAATACCACTGAATGTGCCTGAACGCTGCCGAGCCGTCCACGGGTCAGCCTTGGCCGAATTTGCCCTCGAGCTAACGTTAGCAGGTTGAATTCTCTTACTCGACGAAACTCGTAATGAGAAAATGATTAAAACTATAAACGCGCTGGACGCGCTTCACGGTTTCTATTTTGATTGTCTACGACAGGCTCTTGGCGGTTTTCGCCGAGCTCTCGAGTCATACCTGAATGCTTGGTATTGATTTCTCTTCTCTTCCCTTGCTCCAAATGCGGAAGACTCCCTTCATCTGACGTGGAGTGACATGGAATATTAGTCATTTACTCGCTCTCCCCGTCTTAGCCTTACACAATTCCAAAACCCCGTGACTCAAGTCCGGAGCTTCTCGGGTACAGAAGTCTTGGTAAATTGGAGGTTGCATACTGTACAATATACTATACGTCGTATGGGCTGTGTAAAGAAGTACTAAGATGTAGTACATATGGATACTACGCCAAAGTCGTATCCACTGCTCTCCGAACTCACCTCAGAATGGACTCTTGGCTCTGCTCCTTCCCGG